TGGGTCCGCGTGCAGCCGAACGTCCGAACGCGTCGAGAGGGGGTCCCGAATGTTCGGGCGTTCGGGTTCGGGTGTTCGGCCCGTCCCGAACGCCGGCTACCCTGGTGACAGGTATGTTGAGAGTTTTTTTGCCTCTGGAAATATCGTGAAATTGAGGGTCTCAACCCTGATAAGCATCGTAATTATGAATGTCAGCTATGATGATTCTGACTAAGAACTCAACCTGAGAGCTCTTTTTACTGGATGTGTATTGGGTGTGTCCCGACCGGCCGCAGCAGGACCTGAGGAGCCACTTCCACTTGGCCCAATGCTCCCGTATTGCAACGGGTTACAGGGCGGCACAACTCGCCCCAGCGAGTTACCAGTGTTGACTGGCCGTGGCCACCAATCCTTCAGGTCACTGAAAGTGACGGCAATGGGAATAGAACCCAGCACCAACGCGGTGCCGCTCAGACATGAAGCCTACTGAGCTAGCCGACGGGACACCCGAGGCCTCTAATCATTTGCTTTACCCGATAAAACTGTTCAACAGCTCCAGCTATCCTGAGGGAAACTTCGGAGGGAACCAGCTACGATATATCTCAAGACTGTCGCCTTTTTTTTTTTTTTTTAAAGAAAAAAAAAGAAAAAAAGACAGTTCGATTATTCTTTCGCCCCTATACCCAAGTCCGAGGAACACTTTGCACATCAGTATCGCTGCGAGCCTCCACCAAAGTTTCCTCTGGCCTCGCCTTGCTCAGGCATAGTTCACTGTCCGCTGTCATGCCCTTTCGGGTCCCAACGGGCATGCTCACCACATCGCCCAGAGTTAGCGATACCCAATCCCTGAGATCGTGGTTAGCGGACGTTGGGACCTTTCGGGTCCCAACGGGCATGTCCACCGTCCACCGACTTGCCCTTTCATTTCCCAACGGGCATGCTCACACTCAAACCTCTCACAGCAGATCCTGGTTGGCGGACGGTGACTCACCACATCGCCCAGAGTTAGCGATACCCATCCCGGTGAGAGAAAAGAGGTGGTCGACTTTACTCGCACCACGCTTGCAATGTGCATGTGTCCTAAATGGCTCCAGACTCTTTCGCGAAGGGCCCCTGCAAAAAATCAGCTAGGTCTCATTACCAAGCAGAGACGGTCGTCAAATTTAGAGCAGGGCATGAGCGGGCCAAGAATATATATATTATATGGTCTGGATTCAAATTCCGTTCCATGTTTCAGCAGCTGTGGGTTACTCCTAGCTCAGCTAGAGAGGCCCAGTCTGTCTTTGCACACGCCATTCTCAGGGCTTCACTCCACTACTACTCACCAAATGTGCAAAACTAGAATGAATCTTCCGCTAGAACCTGGAACCATTCGCCGCCATATGTCTTGTCTTTTGTGCACATGGTGAGTAGTCGAGTGAGGCCGTTAGGGCCGCTGCACGGATTCGTTACGCGGCCGTTAGGGCCGCTGCACGTATTCGTTACGCGGCCGCTAGGGCCACATTGCACTCATAGATAAAACTGTCTGGGGTAGGGTAGGGTAGGGTACTTTCTACACTTTCAAGTTTCCACTCCTCAGAGATGAAGCAGTGCCCACTTCCAAGCAGAGTACCGTACCTGTGCATGTTATGCCATGATGGGATTGCCATCTTCCCCCGAATAGGAACGTAGTACAGTCATTACATCTGTATTTGGGTTAAATTCAGCTCAGATGCAGCGATAACGAGCCTACACTCTTTTCCTTTTTCTTTTTCTGTTTTTTTTTTGGTAACTAAGCTTTATTCTTCTCTCCAATACACCTCACAATACCCATCTTCGCAACTACTGTCTTCACCCGAATAGAATGCCCGGTCATTATCGCTGCATATGGACCGAAAGTTGTGCCAAATACAGCTAAAAAGGCCGGGCGTTCTATTCGGGTGAAGACGGTTGGGACAGGGGCCTATTGGAATCAATCCGTTGTTCTCCCGTTGAGTCTAAACCCCTACCGTCTTCACCCGAATAGAACGCCTGGTAATTATGGCCGTATCTGGACTGAAAATTGCATCAAATACGCCTATATTGACCGGGCGATCTATTCGGGTGAAGACGGTCGTGAGGGATGGAAGGAACAGAAGGCAAAGCCAAGCCCCTTCGGAGACCGACCAGGGGGGTTGAACCCACGACCTACTTCGGAATGCCACTTGCATGCACTACCAAATAAGAGCTAGGCCGCTGGCCCGCAATCAGCATACGTTCTGTTAGGGGGAAGACCGTCAGAGAGCGCAAACGGGTAACCGTTACCTGTACCCGGCCGTACCCGACTGTAACCGCCAGGTTACGGGTGGGTATGGGTGCCCCTTCCGAAGGGGGAGTTGGGTATGGGCAGACACAAACAAAAGGTGGTGGTTGTTAGGGCGGGCACAGTTGCCCTTTTTGGAGATCATGGGTGGGTAGGGGCAGGTAGGGGTAGGGGTACAAAAAAAAAAAAAAAACGTTATGGGTGGCCAGAAAAAAAAATCGACGGGTATGGGCAGGTACGGGTGGCCAAAAAACAAAAGGGGTGGGTATGGGCGGGTAGAGGTTCCAATCGGGTAACCGTGCTATACCCGATGTGAGTCTTGTAGCTTTGCAGGTTTTGTTGTTTTGCTCGAGCGTGACGCTTTTCTCATATTCCAAATTTCTCGCTTTCCCAAGACGCAAACGTTTTTTCTCGCAAGGGTGAATTTTATCTCTTCAATTTTTTATTTTTTGTTTTTTTAATTTTCAGACTATTTTCATATGTGTGTATCCCTGTCTATGTAATATTTATATGTGTGTCTGTGAGAGAGAGAGAGAGTGTATGTGTGTGCGACAGACCGAGGGTTCTTGTATTTGCAGATGCTATACAGGTTGCATAGGCTGCTGTAGCACCTGATGCATCCATAGCAGCATTAGATTGACGAGATGTAACAAATGTTGCTTTTGGGGCAGTAGCTGCCGCCACATCTCGAAAAAAAAAAAAATAACATAATAATATTAGTATTAGTAATAATAATAAAAATTACCACGTCAATCCTGTGACATATAGGGGTTGGGAATAGTTGGGGGCGGTTAAGGACAATTAGGGGTGGTTAGGGACGGTTTAAAAAAAAAAAAAAAAATACATTAGGGGCGGTTAGGGACAGTTAGGGGCAGTTATGGGTGGTTAGAGGAGGGTGGACGACGAACACGGGTGGTTACAGGTGGGTGCATACATTTATGGGTAGGTACGGGTGGGTACAGGCAAAGAAAACTTGGGTAGGGTAGGGTATGGGTGGTTAACCAACGGTTTGGGTTCAGGTGGCCATGGGTGGTTTTGAAAAAAAATGTTCATGGGTAGGTATGGTCAGTTACATGTTGAAGAGGTSCAGGTAGGGTAGGTCTGGGTATAGTTTTTTTTTTTTTTAACAGGTGGAGATGGGTACAGGTCCGGCAGACCACGTACACAGTGGGTATGGGTGGTTGGTTTTGAAAGAGGGTGTGATTAGGTCAGGTACATGTACTCCTAAGAATCGCAGTTGCGAACTCTGAAGACCGTATGGTCAGCGTCGGCACAAATGCCTACCGGGCAGGTGCTGCTTGTTGTGAATTGATTCCAAGGGCGTAGTACTCACACTAGGACTTGTTTCCTTATTCTGGACAGAATTGCAGTCACATATATACATCCAGGTGTGGCCGTAAATGCAGTGAGATACGTTTAACGAAGTGCTAGTGTGGGTACGCCCTGACTGCTGCGAGAGCTACAGGAAAGGTAGAAGGGTCATTAGTTAGAGAAACATATAAAAATATACAAGTCGATCCACAAGGCGATGATATCACCATGTGACATTTGAACCAATTTCCTGAAGGGCTCATCACGCAAGATTTTGCCCAATATGAGCTTTCGATCCGATTTCCTTTTCATTCTCTCGGGCCTGAGATCGGAAACTCCAAAGCCTCGACAATGAAATCAAGACCCAGTCCCAACACAAAGACAAATGACTTGACGAGGTGAAGGGATGCTTGGGAGAACGGGTTGATGGATGGGCGATTGGATGAACGTATGAAATGGATGGCATGGAGGAGAGAGAGAGAGAGAGA